CTTCCTCCTGTTGTCACAGCTTGTGTTGTGGCCTTCCTCCATGCAGGGTCCTGCTCACGTGTCAGGGCTTCTTCCCTGACTGCTGGCCTTAGGAGCATCCTCACTTCTGCCCCATCACTTTTTATGACCTGCTGGCGCCATCACTGTGTGACAGTCCGTTGTGTTTCTCATTCGAGTGTTTATTCTGTCTTTGGCATCAGCACCTGGGCTCCAGGGGTCAGGTCTTTCCCTGTGGTCGGCTGCCATGTCCCAAGTACCCAAATACTGTTGGTACATGACAGGAACTCCGTATCTCTTTAATGTGTGAATAACCTTCAGTGGCTACTGAAAAAAATAAATAACTTAAAAAATACTATAGGGAAATAAGAAGAAATAAGGTATCTTAACTTGTCTATTATATTAGTGACATTTAAATCTCTTCCACTTTTCTATGTGTCCTCTAGTGGACATTCCCACCCTGTGCTGAAGTCATTTCTCTATAAAACACTTGTTAAGTGATTCAGGTTGAACTGAAAACTTTTTCCACAGTGGGTAATTAGTGTTGAAACGAGGCTAGGAACACTGCCTCTTGACCCTTGTGTTCTGATGTGGGCCAACGTCAGCGCGGAGCTCACATGTGCACTTGAAGGAACAGATCATCAATGTCAGTATTGTCATTCTGCTCCCAGTCAGCTCTAGACCAAATAACAATTCGGAGACGGAGTGGCTTCCTACTCAGAAAGAGGGCGATGAGCTCAGCCTCTAACCCACATGGAATGGGATAATGAGCCTTTTCACTCACATCACTCATGGTCACCAGTTTGGGCCATTTTGAAATAAAGGACAACTCTCCCTCTCATTTTCTAGAGATGGGTACAATTTTTAATTTACTGATTTTTCCCTTGAGATCTTACATCTTCTTTACATGACAAATAGGTCTAATGCCCACATGCAATTCTAGTTTTTGTTTTAGAAAAATTACTTGATTTCATGAAAGGAAAAACAAAATAAAATTGCCATTTCATCGTGCAGACTTTTCAGCTACAGGTAACACAGAAGTCTGTTTACAATGGTTTAATCAAGGAGAGGGTTATTTGTCCTGCATGACAGACTCTGACGCGGTAGGCCCACCCTGGCATGTCCTGGCTCCGGGTTTGTCTTCCTTTATTCTCTGCTTTCTTCAGCATTTGCTTTCGTCTTTGTGCTTGTCACTTCATGAGTTTCCTACATCTGTGTCCCACAAAGGTCAAAGAAGGAGGATCTGAGTGAGCAAAGCAGCACCAGCATCAGCTTTACCCTTCTGCTAGGAAGGAAAAGCATTTATAGACGTCCTTATAGGCTGTTGCCTTTCCCTTAGGTCTGACTGTCCCAGGCGGTATCAAACGACCACATCTGGTTGTGAGAGGCTGGGAAAGCTAACATGTTATCTAGGCACATTGCCATTCTGAACCAAATCAGGGTTCAGGCAAGCAAGAAAGAAGAGGATGGATGTTGGACGGGACATTGCAGTACCTGCCCTGGCTGTTTACGACGACTGTGTAATTCCATGTGAATGGGAATTCACAAGGACATTTTACTTATTGTATCAGTGAGTGTGATGCACCATTCCTTACTCGGATAATTTCCAGTCTACAAAGATATTTTCCATTTCGTTTAGTCTTTGCAGGAAGAACTCTGCCATTAGATTCACTCCTGCCTGAGTAAAATTTTCATATAAGACTTGGAATAAATTAGGAGTTATTCATGCTGCTTCTTAGTAACTCATAGCATTCAGAAATAGAAAGCTAGAGATTGACTTTAGACAAACTAAGCTCTGGAATAAGAATAAAACAGAGATTAGCCCACAGCATTGTGGTCAGTATGTACCAAATAATGCTTAGTGGGTGTTAATTGTTGTTGTCTTTATGATCCTGCTTCACTTATAAAACATACTTATTCAGTTCTATTGTGTGCCAGTCGCTATTATACTGGGTTCTGGGGATACAGTTGTAGACACCTTAGATAAGGTCAGTGTCCTTACTCTAGTGAAGGGAAACAGGAGATCAGTAGATACGCCAGGAAATTAATTTCAGTTAAAGTGGCAGAAAGAAGGCAAGAAATGGTAAAATGTTCAGAATAGTCTCTCTGAAAAAAAATGATTTCAAGTTGAGAACATTTTCTTCTTGAGACCTAATTCTCTAATATCACAGTTACAAGGAAGATATTCTTGGTGAAAATGCTGTTATTTTCGGGGGGGGGACCATTAATTTTATCATAGGTTCCCTTATCCTAGAGGCAATAATATGAAGAATTGTTGAATTTAAAGGTTTCTTTTCCCCCAACAGATGGCTGTCTAATTCACCGTTGAGTCAACCCATTAAACCTCATCATACAAAATGTACCAAGGAAATTGTTAGATTCCATGCATTTTTATTGCTTGTTCTTTTTGACTCCTTCTTTGCTATGATCCTTGCTGTGGTTCTTAATGAAATAACTCTTCTCGCAATAGTTGAAGTCATACCACTCCTTACATATCTAACAAGGAGAGAAATGTGACTGCCGTCAGGGCCCTGAAGATAAATACGATAAAGATGTAAAAGGTCACTTTAAGCCCTAATCTAATTAAATGATAGTCCTGAAAAAATTCCTGAGGACCCTTCACTGACAGTTTATCAGAATGTTGTCCACACAGAGCAGCACCTTTGAGAGCATTTGTTTGTTGGTTTGTTTATAGGTTTAATATTTCAGGACTTTGTGACAGTGGCCTTGGAAGTGTATTGTGAAGCGAAGTTTGGAGAAAAGTCTGCCTTTTTTCTGTGTTTCTTTTTCACAGACTTTTAAAATTTGCTGACTGACACGAACATACTTCCTAATTAGAGACTTGTTTGCAGTTTTTAAACATAGATTCCTTGGATTTGTTTAAAATTGTTTCTTTTTTAAGGCGATTTACAAAAGCTACTCTACTAAGGCAACTCTTACTTCTCTCTGTTTATCCCTCAAGGTGTTTTGCAAAATTATGAGAGCATAATAAGTATCTAAGACAGACGTTCTTGTTGCTCAGTAAACTGAATGAGAATGTGTTTGAGTTATAAATATTTATTGTAATGGCCTGTAATATTTGTTGTACATATCCTGCGAGCTTGTGTATAGCCAGTGAGCATCTACAGTGTATAGTTGGTAAAGGAGGCTGTAGAAGTGGGTGGCCCAGGAACAGACCTTGAGGTTCTCTGACATTTTAAGGTTAACCAGAGGAGGGAGATCTGGCAAAGGATATTACAAGAGGGTGCCCGTACGCAGTCAGGGTGTGAGGTCACCAAAGCTTGGAGACAATAACAACTCAAGAAGGGCTAGTGATTAATAGTGCCAAGGCAGGGAGTGTGATCCTCCTCAGCATCGCAGGTTGGGCTTAATGCGAGAGGCCATTAGTGACCTTAGAAGATGGATATTGTTTGAGAGGTGAGACGTGAAGAAGCAGAAGTCACTTCTTTGAGGAGTTTGGCTAGGAATGGGAAAAGAGTAAACAGCCCCTGAAGGGGAATGTGGAATCCCAGCAGAGTTTTACGCTCTTGTGTTCTATTTTTTGTGTGTGTGTTTGTTTCTTTTTATAGCGAGGAAACTGGAGATGGGCTAAACATTGGTACAAAGGATCTGATAGTTCAGGAGTGATTAGCATAAACGATAGCCTAATGACCCTAGAGGATGAGGTAGACAAGTCCCAAACATAAATGGTGAGAGACTTGCCCTGGAAAGGATAGAGTGCTTCCTGCGCGGTGATGGGAGGGACGGAATTGCTGTGCCCTGAGGAGAAGCTCCTGTTTTCTCAGTAAAGGGCAGGCAAGCTCAGCTTGCCGAAGGGTGAAGGTTAAGGGAGGCATGGGAGAGTAGGGAGGGGCTCAGGTGACACTGAAGACAGTAGTTTGGGTAACGGTGAATCTGCGATGGTCTGTAATTTTCCTAGAACTTAGTCATGCAAAACAGAGACCAGCAGGATAGTACCACTGACCCATGGTTGGCTCTTTGTTTTCTTTTCACAGCCACCTGTCATAAAAGGTCAGCGAGGCACGGGGTTTAAGTTATTTGCAATGGAGGGTAAATACTGCTTGGTACAGTCTAAGACAAGGGAAGGGAGTTGTGATGAGAGAGGCCGAGGATGGGGAAGAATTGAATTCGTGGCCTGGAAACTCCCCTGATGTTGAAGCAGCAGCAGCAGCTGGGCTACCTGAGCGAGCAGTCTGGAAGGATGCGATTTTGTTGTCAGATGGGATGTTTGCTCAGTGCCTTTGGAAGCAGTGTCATTTTGGGTGATAACAGGATCCAGAGGGTTTTCTCTGGAGGGAGAGCCACTGAGGAGCATCACAGAACAGAGAAAGAAGGCTTAACTTCTGACAGTCTTTAGAGAGATTGCCTCTTGGGCTTGGGACAGAATTTCTCTGGCCTCGAGTGGATACATACTATAGTATTAGTATTAAGTATATATAGCGTCAGTAGCAGTGTTAGTATAGTATAAGGTGTACGTAGCATTAGTATTAGCATCTTGTAGTATAGCTTCTTGCTTCAGCTAGCTTTGACACCTACTTGAGTAAGCATGGGTAGGGCCCTATTTGCTATCTTTGGCGTGCCTCATGTATTAGCCGAGTTCCTGCCCAGCATTTGGGGGAGCCCCTCGCTGTGGCTGAGTGGGAGTTTCAAGGGGAACCACAAGCCAGACCTCACCCTTTCACACTCCTCTCTTAGCTCATGGTTATGTTGCCTTCGCTGGTGTTATCCTCTGAAAGAAATGAGCGAATGTCCTCATATTTTTAAAATATTTCAGTGCCTCTGTGTTTTGCTCGGCCTCAGATACTAGTGGCATTAGTGTTATCTATTACAGCACTGATGTTTTCTGCTAAATCACGTTATAAAACCTCACAGGTGTCCAGTAAGTGTTTGGGGGATGGTTTGTGTTTAATTTGCAAAGTCTCAATGAATATCATTTACATATTTTAGTCTTTTTAGTTCTTTACTGAGGGTGTTTTCAAGGTATGTTCTTTTACTTCCTGAAGGAGCAAATGATGTGAAAATCCTTCCAGGTCAAGCTGTTTGTCCTACTCCAGGGTGCCGAGGAATAGGCCATATCCGTGGTCCACGGTATTCAGGACATCACAGGTAAAATTTTTTCTTGTTTAAATTTTTACAGGGATGAATTGGAACATAATGCAGATTAGCAGTTCTAGGTAGCATCACAAATGACTCTCTTGGAGCCGGATGCCTTGCCATTATACTCCCTTCTCTGTGTTCCTAAGGCCCCTCCTTGGCATTTCCTGCTGCCCGCCCACCTCTGGCCTTCCTGGAGACTTTTTGGACCTATGAAGCCTTGCCCAGACCCACATCACTGCCCCGAGCCTCTGATGACACTTTCCTTAACAAGTGCCCATGCCATCAGATACTCTCACCATTCTGGGTCCCACCCCAGGCCTGAATTGACTCCACACAAGTGCTGAGTCCTGCTGTCTTCTAGAGAACTTCCAGAACCTCTTGCCTTTTCCCCCTCTTGTTTTTACCTTTCCCCTATTTCTTTTTCTCTATGTCTTGATCATTTGGAGATGGGATGATTCTGTGACAGAACAGAAGATAATGAGTGCGAAGTTATACTGCAGCATATACCCATGTTTTTAATATTTCATAATAGTATAGAGAGGATAGTGCCTACAAGTGCTTACAAAAGTAAGTACAAATAAATCCGTAGAATTCTGTACTGCTTTTTCTGTTCCCATCAGTTGGTAAAATAATGTATAGATGAATTATTCAGATTGGTGATCTAGTTACAGAATATGTCAACTAAAAAAGTTTGTTCAACACACAAATAAATAAAACACATATCACAGAGAAGTATAAAGAGAAAGGAATACGTTACATAATGTGTGAAGCAAAAAAAATATTTGTTTGAATAAAAGAGATCCAAATGGAAGTCCTGGCTTTATCAGGTGATTGCAGTCTTGGAAGAGAGTGCTGAAAATAGTCCTAAATTAATCAAAGCAAATGTTTCTATAAGAAATAATGGTAAATACTTCCAAATAGTATAAATGAGTATGTTAGATGTGTAAATACAGTATTAACACTTAAAAGAAATGAATATCACCTAGTATCCCTAAAAAAGAAAGACATGCAAACATCTTGGGTACTTGGGCAAATGTTTAGGACTCACGGACCAGGAGAGTAGAGTTGAACCCTACTTGTGTGGGGGAAGGAGGAAAAGAGAGTAAAGACATAAGGGAGGGAAGGGGGGGGCAGTTGCATCATTGAGAGAGGGCTCTGTCATAGGTGAGGCCCCTGTTGGGGCGGATAGAGCCACTTGTCAGACATCCACAGGGGTGTGTGGCTATGAAGAATCTTCCTTAGGCTTTTCTTGTGTGCTCACTCTTTGTTCATTTTTTTGTTTGTTTAAATCTAGAGCTGCAAACTCCAATATGGTTAGTCACTAGTCATATGTATCTGTTTAAATTAAAATTAACTAAAATAAAACCAAATTAAAACTTCAGTTCTTCAGTTACAGTCACACATAGCCATGTATGCCCAGTGGCTACCATATTAGATGGCACAGAAAGTTCCATGGAATAGCTCTTAGAGAGTTTACCATGTTCTGCCATCTCACAGTAGATTTTTGAGTGGCGGGTATTTCCAGATGAAATAACTGGTCACTTAGTGCTTCCTTCAAAACTTGAGTCATCATCCTGAAAGTTAGCAAGACCATAACATTGCAGTTGGTGTGTCGCTTGGTTCTTTCTGGAGTGTATCCTCCTGAGTCACTGGAGCTGAAATAACAAATGCCACGCTGGACAGCTCCTTACGATTGCTATGTACCTCAGCCAAGGTCTCTTCTTCCCACTTCACCACAGCTGACTTGCCTCCCACACTGTTCCTACATGTGCCTCACTCACCTCTCCCTGCTCAGATGTATCCTTAAAAACAAAGTCACAGTGGGTGTGCTCCAGTTTGTTCCAGCAACTTTCCGGAAGTGTTCTCACTCAGAATGGCACAAAGAGGTCCAAGTGTTGCTTTTACTTGTAGTGTCTAATTACGAATAATATTGAGAATGTACGACATGATTTCCTCCATCCACCACATAGCCTTTAAAGCTTGGCCTCAGACCTTTTGAAGAAACTAGAAGAATATGGAAGTAGAGTTTAAAGAAAGGCGTTCTATGAACCTCAGGAGAAAAGTGAAATACCGCACATATGTGGTAGAAAAATGGGACATTTTTAGGGAACTAGAAGGCACAAGGCATTCTTTCTTGAGACCTCACTATTCACAGGGCTGCTCGGAGCAACACCTGTGTGATTGGGTCTTGGCTCTTCTCCTGCCCTAGACATTGTTGTGAGAGGGCCGGGACTCCTGTAAGTAAAAGTCTTCAAAAGCGTAATGATTCCATTATCTCAGAAAAAGAAAAATAACAAACAATGAGTACCTGTGATGAGCTTCTCTCTAGAATGGGAAAGACGAAAGTTAGACCACTGGATGGTCCTCGAACTTGCCTTTAGATCTTATAAGGCATTTAAACTATCAGCTAAATAAATTCTGACTTACTTATGAAAAGAGCAGATAGAAAGCTTTTACTATATTTAACACTATGTTGTATTCAAGAAATGAGGATGAGCTCTTGGTGAGGTTAGTGTTGATTGTAAGGCAGTTATGGAGGTATGGGGGTGGGGGTCATGGGCAACATAAGGTTAGTTCCAGTACCTTATGTGTAATTGTGTTGGGCAATTCTCTCTCTTGCTTTAATCATCTTCAGTGACAGGTCTTGTCTTTATCAAGTTTAGCTTTGAGATGCTAGAGTTACTCACTGACTGACTGTATCCATTTTCAGTCAATACATTGATTTATTTTTAAAACACCAACTCTTGTTTTCAAATATCTAGGTCATCCTATTCTAAATATCATTTACTAAGTTAGTCAACGTACTGATGTAACTATGAGTATAGCTTAAGAATTTGCTTAAATTCTCTCAGAACTAATTGGGCAAGAACTGTTTTGATAAATCATTCATATTCTCTGGGGTTTGTCTTCCTGTATTTCAATTATTGTAGTCTTAATCTTACATAGTTTCGCAAGATGAAAAATATCACTCTTCAATATGTATCTTTGGTGTTATCTGTTGAAAATATTACATATACACACACCTAACTGCACCTGCTAGAAATTTGCCATAACACACCCCAAAGTTGTCATTGTACAGTTTGCTCTTATAAATCAATGAGATGGTAAGCGGCAGATGAGAATTTTAAGATGCTGCATTTTCCCAGGACTCTAGATGTGCTGTTATAATCATCTCTAGCTTGAGTTTCCTGAAGCATGTAAGTTACGCTTACATATTCTAAAATGAAAGCATTTTTTTCCCTCTTGTCATAAACATATATACCTTTACCAAGTAGTCATCATTCTACAAAATGCTTTCCACAGTCTCTAGTCCAGAAGAATTTTAAGCAAATATTTTTACATTAAAAAAAAAAGAAGAAAATGATAAAACCACAAACCCCTCCAGCTTCACCAAGGCCTGTATGAAACAGCTCAGTTGACTCCTGCTTCCCAAGCTTGGGGAATGCTTGGAAGTGGAGAGCCACGGTAAGGAAGACGGCGATTTCAGCTGCTCGTCTCTAAAATACTCCCAGGCAGCAAAGTGCTTGCAAGGAGTTAATCTTGTTCTTACCATTTTTGTCAGAATTTCTGATTCTAATATTGAAATCTCAGTGTTTTGAAAGGAAGTAAACAATGTTCTTAAAATAAGTTGTCAGCATCTTGTTTCGTGCCACTGACAAGGAGAGCCGTGACATCAGGACACCACGGAAGACACTGAAAATAATACAGGACTTTAAGAGATGACGTGGGCCTCGGGGTGTCCTCTGTAGATGGGATTCAGACAGGTTTACGTCAGCTTTCATTAAAACAGTCAAGGGGTTGACAGTAATATTCAAAGCTGTTTGGAGTTCATGTGAAATATGCATAAACCATTTTTTGAGAGAAATTGCATCAATTCTTATCAGTGTGAAAATAAGACTTTGGGCACATGGTTATCACACAATTTACATGTGATTTGAATGAATTTACATAGTGAATAAAATGAAGTAGGTATGTTTGTTAACATTGAAATATTTAAAGATGACAATATTGGGACTACAAGGTGTAAACTGACTTTAAGCCAGGGTCCAGGATTCGAAAGGAAGTTGTTTTTTCTAAATCAGTAGAATGTAGACTTGGGAAGTGTTTGTCTACCTCTGGGTCATAAAATGTACAAAGGTAGTTTATTTAGGAGCTAATAATTACACTCTTTAAGTAAAGAGCCCGGTATTGTTACAGTGTAAGGACCTCTGGCCCTGGTGTTCATGTGTGGGTACAGGACACACACTGCTAGTGCCACACCATGAAGAACACACTAGAAAAAAGAAATCTGCTGCTCAGAAGTGAGGATGTCTTGTTAACATGTAAGATGTTTTGGGTGCTGTTCATGGAGACTTACGGCACAACTTAGCCTCTGCTCAGGATTTATCTAGAATCATTTTGCCAGTTGTGTGTGTGTGTGTGTGTGTGTGTGTGTGTGTGTGTATCATGGAATGTACTAATGTGTGGTATGTGTGTGAATGTGTGTTTATGTGGTATGTGCATATATATGTATGGAATGTGTGTGGGGGGGTGGTATCTGGGTTTGTGTAGGGGGGAAGTGTGCTAGGGTGTGTGTGTGTGTAGAAAGGATTGGTTTTCCCCTGCCTTCACCCCACCCTCTGCAAGAATCCCATACTCTGGACATTTTCAGAACCGTCTCTCTGTCCCTGGTGTTCTGAACTAAGTTTTCATTCATATGTTCAGGCTGCAAAGTCATTTGTTTTATTTCTAGGAAATGTTCCTATAGCGTTTGAGACTGTTGTTTTTCTGCTCCCTGCATTGTTTTTTTTGGGTTGTTTTGTTTTTTTCAGGTACTTGGTTTTGTTTTAGAGAGAGAGAGTGCTCAGGAGCAAGAGGAGGGGCAGAGAAAGAGAAAATTTTAAGCAGGCTCCACACTCAGTGCAGAGCCCACCTGGGGACTCAATCCCATGGCCCTGGGATCATGACCTGAGTGAAATCAAGTTGGAGGCTTAACTGACCACGTCCCCCAGGTGCCCCGGCACTTGGGT